GGAAAACCTAAAAAAACTGCCGGAAAATGAGGAAATTGACGAAAATTTTATTCAGTCTCGGAGTATTACCAATAGACTGAGTGAATCCAATCTTTACTTTTCTAAAATTCGGGAATTTTTCTCTGGAAAATCCTGGAAAAACCTGGGAAAACATGAGGCAATTTTACTCATCGCTGAGTTCCTGCACTTTTGGCGATTATGAGTGAACTAAACTCAAATTTGGGTCGTTGTCATTCGCCGTGCACAATCGTTCAAGTGGTTACAGTGATGATAGCGCAAACAAAATTTGTGCACTCACTTCGAAAATCCAAACGCTTCACATAGATTTATCAGTAAACAGCTCGGAATTCATCATTTAACCACAGACAAACATACATAACACATTAAAGATTTGTCACTGTAAAACATCGTCGCTAAAACATTACCGCCATCTGTTGAGCACACTGTGGTGGGAAGTATGGCGTATCACATGGCGGTAGTGTCAAACGCAGATACTTTTAAATAGACCGTTAAATGCTTGTTCGATGAACAACTTGTGAGAGTTATGTCTGTTTGTCTGTGAATTAACGGTATGTCGTGTGATCAAGACATTGATTGAAATAAAAAAAATCAAATATGCAAAAAAAAAATCCTTGTTTGGCAGGCGATCTGTGGATGTGGTAAAATGAGTCAGCCCTTCATCACATCTGGCACCATTAACGGGAAAATTTATAAGGATGAATGCCTCCAGAAGCGCCTCCTGCCTATCCCGAAGTCCCACGGAGGCCAGACGCTGTTTTGACAGGATTTGGTATCTTGCCATTACATCCAACCAGTCTTAGACTGGTTGGTACAAAAACAACAATGTTGTTGAAGAAGTCGACCCTCCGAACATCTCTGAACTTCACCCAATCGAGAAATATTGGGCTATCATGAAGGCAAAACTTCGCAAAATCCCTAAGGTGTTGGAAAATGAACTGAATTTGAAGAAAGAGTGGTTAGATCTGTCGAAAAAAGTTGGCTCCACCATTGCCCAAATCTAATGAGCAGTGTCAAAGCAAAGGGGTGGGCATTTGGAAATGGAGAAGAGCGAAGTGGTTCAATAAAGTAATTATGTTGAAACATAACCATAATGTTATATTGAATTTCCTAAAAGTTTGGATAGAATCGAACTTCGAATTTTAAATTCGAATACAGTCTTTAAGTATCACATGGAAAAAAATAATAAATTAGTAGATGTTTTATTGTAAAAAATATCCAGCATTTCTGTTAAAACAATAAAGAACCTATCCAAAATTTAGTAATCAATTGATTATCATTCATTTAAATGATGAATATTCTATTTGTGTGCCATTATATATAGTGGAAATGGCTCTTATGTTTGCCTATGGATTGGGCCCATCGCTAAAAAACTGCTATTTATCAATTTTATCAAAATGAACGCGTCATTGGGACGGTACTAATGGATATTTTTGGTCGCTATTGAAAATTTAGTCGGTTACTGAGTTTATGTATGGGTCCAAATTAGGGACATTTAGGCCGACATTACATCCATTTCCCCTATATCCAATATACAATTTCATCTGTACATGTTTGGTTAGGTAGGGGCCTCCCTCAGCTCAATCCGTAAAGGCGCAAGGCTACAAACAGACCCCCTTCACTCTTTGGATTTTTTAGAGACAGATAACAGCACCAAACGGTTTGTGACGAGACAACGTTGAACCATAGAGATAACTCTAAGACCACTGGGTCCCGAAGAAAATCATTATTATTTTTGGCTCACTCAGTACCAGAACAACGGTCCCAAGCAGTCCCAAGCTATTTCACTCACCCCTGCATGTTCTGCATGAATCCACACACCCCTGATGTTATCTGTCAAACTTTCATAGCGAATCAAAACAAACATAGGGTAGTAATAGAATTTCAACTAGAATAGGGTACGTTAATCGTTTGCTTGGGACCAATAGGCTACTAAAGTGGTGAGCCAATTTAAAATCGTTAGTTTCGTATTGATTGTTGGTTGAACTGCAGCGCTGGAAGAAAACACGCACACTAACATCTATACATGTACGAACCCACACAACTGAGCGGACGGTACAGCGCAAATCAAAACACGAAGCGGTGTCATCACTCATCGTCTTCATTCAGCTTCTGCTACTTCCGTTTGCGTTTGCTTTCACCGGCGTTGACAAATACTTCCTACGTTATAAAATAAGAAAGTAATGATTATTCCAATGTAATTTTTGAATAGAATGCGTGCTCCGTTGGCCAAAAAAGACGGCATATTTTATTACGTTTAGCAATGATTTCGATACGTTGCATTTCCAGTGACTGGGGTGTTGCAATAATTCTTTAGAGAGGGTGAATGCTTTTCCCATGTTTACTTCTATGCTTATTAAGATTCTTTTGAGCACCAGCTGCGCAAGTCATCAATTACTATTAGAGATTTGCATTTTACTGGTACCGGTGATATATTGGAAACTCTTTCGCTCGAAAGCAAAAAATATTACAGGCACATCATGATGCGTGCTTGGATGTGTGATTGTATTCTCAAGTGTTTCTGTTGCGTATAAAGTGGTAATGATTGAAAATCGGAACAATCACAAACAAGCTCGCAAACAAGTAAGAATCTTGATATCGCAATATAATGATGATGACTTCGAGAATGATATCGTCCTCTTTCCTCGACTGATCATCAACGTCCGGATTGACATCTATCATGCTGACACCTGTCAGTTATTGAGCCCAGGTGGTGAAGTTGGCGAGGAACTCCCAACAGTTTCAATATGCACTCAACAGATGGCACTGCGATCACATACGGGTGGAATTATATGCCTTGTATGAGAAATTGATTAGTGGGATATCTTGTTAATTAGATATCTTTGCTACAAAGCAAGCTCATGCTGTGGAAATGGGTGGGTTTGATTCCCGGTACGGTCTAGAAATTTTTCGGGCAATAGAGTATGATCATAGAGGTAACTCTAAGACCAGAAGGTCCTCAAGAAACGAGCTCAACTTTTTGGCTCAGCTCTGGTACTATCTTCGGTCCCAATCGATGCACCCCTCGAAACATAGGAAAATCTAGAGTCGGTGTATAATGAGTCACGCCAAGAGAAAAACAGTTGAACTCGCATCACGGTTTTCGAAAGATTCCCTTTCTTTTAACTTGGCAACAGAGGACTTCTGCATCAACTTCAAATGACTTCTAGCGAGGAAAAAAATTAACAGCTGTAGTAAATCATTATATCAGTGATTTTGTCGAATTATCTTAAGGAAAAATAGTAGAAATTGTCATTAATGATCATTACAAAACGTATCGCATGACAAATGTAATGCTCACTGCGTGTATATGATCATTTCTTCGGTTATATTTAATATTTAATTGCAATACCTTTCGTGGACCTTTCATAGCATCGTAATGCTTGTTTACTTTGCACGATAGGTAGCCGGTTTGACAGTTCAATAGGTAGACTTGGCTTCACTCTTGGCGTGACTCATTATACACCGACTCTAGGAAAATCCACTAACCCCTTATTTTATCTGTCAAACTTTCATAGCGAATCAAAACAAACATAGTGTAGTACTGGAATTTATACTAGAATGGGATACGTTAATCGATTTGCTTGGGACCAATAGGCTAGTCAAGTAGTGAGCTGATTTAAAATCGTTAGTTTCGTATTGATTGTTGGTAAACGTCAATTATAGCTTTGATTATAATGATGTTTTCTTAAAACTGTGTATGAAATTCAAGTTATTATCGCACCTCCACTAAAATGATGTTCGTGATTCTGAATTGAGACTTCCAACGTTTAAATCTCTCATAGGAAAATCAAGTGTCACCAACAAAAACGTCCCATAAGCTTTCAGTTACATACACAAACAAAAAAACGTTAAACAATATATTTCTTTAAAAACCTGGAAGTTTTCCGATAAAGTCCTGGAAAACCTGGAAAACTTAAGAAATTGTATTTAGAAGAATGAGTAGACCCCTGGCATATCGAACGATAAATGCTTGGTATGATGCGATGAGACGCAGTGTTGGGAAAAATATCAAAAAAATCAAATCTCACCAAATATAAAAATTAACAAACAAACAACTGCGGTTGATATTGCAAGCTGTGATATCGCAGCTCGGAATAACAAGCTAACAAAATTCACAAGGTGCAAATCTCATCAAACTGTGGTAAGATTAAGTTTCGTTATTTTTGCTTTACACCCGAATGCTTCCAAAACTTCCACAACGGCTGGCAGCAGTCGCTTCGTGTCTGCCATCGATAAAGAGAAACAAAAGATAGCATTAGGATACGTTAACTTTCTAAGATAACGAGATGCAACGGAATCATGTTTGCGTCTACTCAACTCTCAGCTTCAACTTTACACGTTGTGAATAGTCTCGCAATATTAAAGGAGCTTGTAAAATCAATATCAAGTATGATATTTTGCTCCAATATCACGTGTGATATTGTAAGCGTATGAAAGCGGAAAAATATCAATCTGTTAATGATTATGCCATCACTGATGGGACGTATATCTTGGTAATGAAACACGGAAAAGGAAAGGATGTCCTTGAAACTTTTTACTTCAAGGACGATATAACCGACAGAAAATCCTGCATAGTTGACATGCATACGGAATGCATTGATTTTCACACCTTTAGTTAGGAGACTGAACATCAGTTACCGACGAACCAAACAATAACAGAACCACGTGCTTCCGATTCGTAATGACCATGTATAAGCAAACATACCTACACGCCTTGCAATCACATTCGTTGCAAACATCTGATTTTAGGCAAAACAACTACCTACCTACTACTCTTCATAGGCACACTGGCAGCTATGATAGACCTGTTTACATGACCCCCGACGAATTCGTTACGCATGGGAGCACCGAACGGTTCAACCCCGGATTACCATGGTAACATCAACAAAACAAATCTGAACCGACCTGCTACAATTCGTCACTGAACTGGCACTCGGATATCCGAACCGAATCTACTCCGCAGTCGAGTTCGATCCTTCCGTCGAGGATGACCAAGGTAGCATTTCCTTTACCGGCGCCGGTCGTTCAGGGAAAACAACAGTTGCAATAAACCTAATTAATCATTCATCGATTAAAGTTCATCGGTGCTCTACAAAACATCTAAGGCGCCTTTAGGTACAAAATGGCACTTCGAAGCGCGAAAAAAGACACATACTTTCACACTGCAACTGTTACCACAATACTGCTTATGTTTGTTCGATTTGCTATCGTCGAAGCAGATTCGGATTTTTACAACATCAATGAAGTTATCCTTTATGCAACACCGGAAAGTTGTCGGAGTGGTGAATATTTTGATACTTTCGCGTTCAAGTGCAAAATTTGCGACGAAGGATTGCATCTTCGGGTGGCGGATGATCGTAAGTATTGATTTGTATGTTTGCTATTCGGGCGTTATGATTTTGTTTTTTAGGGTTTAATTGTTTCAAATTAATAACAAATTACAATTTAAGAGCTTCAGATACGTAGACATTTTAGGGGGAAGGCGGGTTGGCAATGGTTTACGGTCCATACAAATTTAAAAAAATGTATGAACGATTGTTTCCGAAGAAGGGGTTTAGAAGGTTTTACACCCTCACCTTAGCAAAAATGAAGAAGTGCTTTGCACATGAAAACGGTAAAAATACTACTCTAATTTTTAGTCGTTACAATGGGCCGTATGAATAAAAAGAGTTTGCTTTACTTTCCCTTGCTTTTCTTACGGGGAAAGTAAAGTAAACGCTTTTATTCATACGACCTAAAATGTGTTACTAGAGAATATTAAGTACCGTAAAACGGGGTATCTTTGATAATGCGGGTAACTTTGATAGTATAATATAAAGACTAAATTTACTCGCTGCGCTTTTTCTAAATTAGAAATATTGGTTCCATATTGTAGCTTAGAGTATTTCCGTTGATATCTTCTTCTTCCTCGTATTTCAAGCTTATTGCGTATGGCATCTTAGCTTTTTGCGTGCTCTAAACTTAGTGTTCTAGATGCACTTCCACAGTTATTAATTGAGAGCTTTCGATGCCTGTACCATTTTTGCATTAGTATAATGTTGTGGCAAGTACAATCATACTCTATGCCCAGGGAAGTCGAGAAATTTTCCAACCCGAAAAATTCCTAGACCGGACCGGGAATCGAACCCAGCCACCTCCAGCATGGTCTTGCTTAGTAGCTGTGCCGTTACCGACTGAACTAAGGTCCTCCGTTGATACCGTATATAGTTTTTATATAGTATGTGTCTGAGGGCAAGACAGCTATCGATCATGAGTAAAACCGAAGCTAATTTTGAGTAACTCTGAGTAACTCACGCTGCTATTATATTCTCATAGCAACCTGATTGTTATATTGAAACCGATGCTGTCAAGCAAAGTTAGTTGACGTACTTTCTTGGAATTTCTGTGTAGGGACTTTTGGTATCGAACCACCCATGGTTCGGATTAGGCTAAATTAATTCAACAAATTCAATGCTTAGTGCAATATCAGCCCAGTGGCAGGCGAATAGACAACATGTTATACCGTGACAGCGAGCCCAGCACAGCAGAATAAACGATTTGAGCCCGGGACATGCTGCCTACTGTCAAACGCTGCTGTTGGTATAGTCCTTGTCACTGGCTTGAGCAATATAGTTTGTGGCACTGCTACCATCTCTCCTGTTAGCGTTGAATCGAAGACAACAAATCAAGAAGACTGGCAACTTTGCCAGAATCCAAGCGACAGATACAGTAGCGCTGTGCTTGAGTGAAGGTGGAAGCAACGCATAGAAAAATTAGCAAATACACAAACCCTTCGTCTGAGGATGTAATCTTTGCTATCAAATTCGTTCGAAGCATTTACCTTTGAGCGACAGATGACGCGATTGGACCTGTCTCATAGCGTTCGTATGAGAAAATGGAAGAGTTGCCAGTCTTCTTGATTTGTTGTCTTCGGTTGAATTCAATCTTCTGTATTTTTTAATTGGACCGCTAAAATGCCTAAAATGGTATTTTTTTAATTTATTCAGTTTCTGATATTTATTCACCATTAAATACATCCAGTCAAACTTCACAATGGCTTGTTTTAATAAACTTTAATTCTTTGCTAGAGGCAATACATCTGGCAACGCTTTTTCAATGATACATTTACGATTGCTGGCAAAGCGCTAAAGTTGAAGTGGTTTTCTTCCGCTGGCGAAGCTGGCCAGAGCTGACCTAATCTGGCCTAGAATCAGCAGCTACATAATATACCACAATCAGCAGTCAAGGACCAATTCTATTGACCACGAACGAAGTTTCAAGCTCAGGTTGTACCTCAGGTTACCGAAACGGAGCATTCCCCTTTTGAAACGGGCAACTCCAGTCACTCCTGTATCGTCCTAGGCCGTGTCAATCCTCACCAACGAGGGAAGGCGCCTGAAAGGCATCCAAGCCCCGTAAAACCGTCGTGACTGCACCACAGTAGCATTTCGTTTGTATTTCGATTTGTTAAACGAGCGATTCGATCTGTCAAATGTGCGAACCGATGCTTTAAACGAAATATGCTGTCAGATGATATTTCTTTAATCAGAAAATCGAGACTACTTTGTTCATTTTTGAGTAATATGAGTAACTCAAATTTACTCGCTGCAAATATATTTACTTTGAGTGCAGCTGTCTTGCCCCCAGGTATGTGTTACATATTTTACAAACATATTAAAAACAATTTTCGTATTTTTCGCCTGTTTGAAAAAGCACTCAAACTATCACTTATGAAATGTATTTCCGATATAGCCATCACAAATTCAATGTTGTATGCTTATTGCCTATCATGTTTTCTGATTATAATATATATTATACTCATTCAAAGTTTCAAATTATCAATGTTACCCCGTTTTACGGTATTTAAGTGTGCATAGTACTTTTCTTCTATGTTGTATTCATACCCTCGATGTGTAATTATAGAGTTATAGAACAACAATCCCATATGAAATCATCATCACAGTAACAATTAACTACATGTTTACTATGGTTCTATAACTCGATATCGAGCTAGTACACATCAAGTTGCGGAGTGTTAACTGTATGCACAAATTAACATTTGACTCTGTGGTATAAGGCTGATATACGGCTTTAAATTTTATATTAGCGGGCTTGATGGTTACTTGGGCATAACAGGAAATTTTTGAAACTCCTTTCAAAGCACAGTGGGCTAGAAATGTAATTTAGACGACGAACCCAATTTCTCTTAAACGAAACATTTCCGAGGGTTGGTACTTTGGAAGAAGTTTATCATTATAACTAAAACTATCTATTGGTTTAAACATATAATTCGCAACTCATCGGTACCCTGGACGAGCCCCTCCGAAATTTAACACAGAAAAGTACCAAATTTCAGTGGGGTGAGAAAGAAGAAAAAGCGTTTGAAGAGATTAAAATGCATCCCTACAAAGCAGGCAGTCTGGGATTTTATAAGCCTGAGGAAGATACATCCGTTGTTGCAGATGCTAGCCCATACGCACTGGGAGAGGTACTTATACAAACAAACAATCTTGGAGAGTCCCGGGTTATTTGTTTCGCCTCGAAATCGCTAACCACAATCCAGTATTGGCCTCAGATGAACGGGGAAGTTGAACGATTGGTTCAGAGAAAAAATATCATTTGGAGTAAGATTTGACAACCGAAATTGACAATCGTCGCTGACAGCTGCTTTTGGGATTTTCGAACACTGAATCGTTCAGTGGATTTGGAGACCTTGTTCGCATGACAACACATGAAACATTCAAGACAATATTTAAAACAGCAAGCCAGATGGCTCGCAAGATAAATTAAAGAAATCTGAAGCTATTTGAATAGAAAAGTAAATGAAAACTGCATCTCAGCGCATTGGCACAAAAAGATCCTCAAACCAACCCATGGACTACTACGTGCTACTACACTACTTCATTTCATGAGGACACCCGTCTCCACAATTAGTTCCAGTATAGCCTGAGTGGTACAATTGATAATCTAGCGGATCGGATCGAATGCATCAGGCAGATGTTATTGTCCAGTTATTATCCGGTTGTGATTTGTTTCGTGTTGTGTTTATGTTTGACAGCTGCGGATGTTGCTTCTTCTTATTTGTGAAAAAATGTTGATGCATGCAGGCATGGAAAATCATTTGCATTCATTTCATACATTCATTTGCCTCTAACTTTTAACAGCATTCCGTAAAATGTTGTATAGAGCTTTTGTAGGTTTTGTTATTAGCTACAACTTGTGGTCATAAAACAAATCTGTATCTCTTATGCATCACGAACTAGAGCGGGCAGAACTTGTTACTGTTTTTCAGTGAATGTAAAATACATCCCGAATAGAAATTGTAATGTAGAAAACATCAGCAGACATCTTCAATACATTAAATTTTAACGTATATTGCTGTACCCTTAATGTATTCAGACTTCAGTGTGACGTCCAAGTACATAAAAATACATTAGCCTCTAACGTTACATCAGAATCAAACGTCTTGACGATGTAAAATTTGACATCAGAATACATCCAATAACAACAGAACCTAACGTTACATTAGAATCAAACTTCATCACGATGTAATTTGTTGCACGCATAAAACATCAGAATACATCCAATGACAACAGAACCTAACGTTACATTAGAATCAAACTTCATAACGATGTAATTTGTTGCACGCATAAAACATCAGAATACATCCAATGACAACAGAACCAAACGTTACATAAGAATCAAACTTCATCACGATGTAATTTGTTGCACGCATAAAACATCAGAATACATCCAATGACAACAGAACCAAACGTTACACAAGAATCAAACTTCATCACGATGTAATTTGTTGCACGAATAAAACATCAGAATACATCCAATGACAACAGAACCTAACGTTACATTAGAATCAAACTTCATCACGATGTAATTTGTTGCACGCATAAAACATCAGAATACATCCAATGACAACAGAGCCTAACGTTACATTAGAATCAAACTTCATCACGATGTAAATTGTTGCACGCATAAAACATTAGAATACATCCTATGACACAACAATAAAAAGTGGCTTGCAGTGCAGTGATGCCTCCTATGCATAGTTTTGTGACATTATCAATTGCAAATAAAATTGAACTCTTTAGAAGAGTGGAAACGCTAATAAAAGTGCACTTAGACGTTGTATCGTCTTGACGCCTTCAGCGCACTTATTCTTCATTCACCAAGGAATAAGTGCGATGAAGACACAACAACAATTTAACGTAAAACCGCACTTTTATTAGTGTTTCCGCATTCATAATCTCATAAATGTGTCCAAATCGCAATCCTCGACGCAATCATATAAAATAGCACATTGCGATTACAAGGTAGAGCTTACCACAATTAACTCTTGCACGACTGACATAGCCTCAAATCA